AACAAAATCTAAAGAAAGTTGTAAAAAGACAGTTTAAAAAAATTAAAATTTATAATTCATTCTCGTGCAAAATTATTTGTTCTGTATCTGGTTTTCGCTTAATTCCTCCTTGAGTGAACAATCGAATCAAATCGGCCAATTTGAATTTGTCGTCATATATGGCACGTATTCAACTACGAAAGGACGACAAAATAATGCGTACATTTATTCTTCAGGCGAGATCGGAAAGTTATCAGCATAGGAATCAGCATTTTCGTAGAAAGCACCTTATTCTAAAGAAATTAAATATTCTGACCTAATTTATTGCGTTGATCGTACATTTGAACGACGATACTACACTTCCAAACAAATTTAATTAATTGAATTAATGACTGATTAACAATAAATATCGCCTACGGAACAACAAATTATGTTCACCATTTTGTTTACAAATTGAAAGTAATGGAAAAAATAAACTCACCAATAATAAAAGAAGTAATGGGATATCGTCAAAACACACGAAGAAATTATCTCTCGAATTGAAGTGCTGTTGATGTCGATTCAATCAACTAATTAATCTTGAAAAAATGGTAAACTTAACTATCAAACACTACACTTGAAATTTACCTAAAAATTTCTAACTCACTAAAATAAACCGATTTGATTTCCACTTCAATGTGTTTTTTTTCACTAACAATACTTGAAATTTAATCTGCGTTAAAAATCTAATTGTAACAGATTTCAGTGGAAAAAATAGCAACCACAAATCCGTCATAAACGATACATAATTATCCGAAATGTACTTCTGTATACGACTGTGTTAAGACATTTGTTGTGAACGCGCCTTAATGTTTGGTTAGCATGATATCTGTCAAGTATATTCATAAAACTTATAGTCATTGAACAAAAAACGTAATATTTTTTCATTGTGTTGAAAATGCCAAATTTGGTACCGGAAAGTGATGATTTGCGGAAAGCATTAATTTTTTGTTCCCATTTTAAGAAAAGTGCTACAGAGTCGCATCGAATGCTTGTCGAGGCATATGGTGATCATGCTCTATCAGAAGCAACAAATGGTTTCAACGTTTTAAAGATAATGATAATGACCACCAAAAAAGTTTGAAGACGCCGGACTGCAAGCAATATTGGATGCAGATGATACTTTGAGTCAAAAGCAAATAGCAGCCATATTAAATGTTGCACAACAAACAATTTCAAACCGCTTGAAAGCCATGGGAAAGATCCAAAAGTGTGGAAAATCGGTGCCACATGAATTGAATGAAAGACAAATAAAAAACCGAAACAGCACTTGTAAAATTTTGCTTCAAAAACAAGAAATAAAATCAGTTTTGTCGTAGAAGTCGAAAATTGGGTGTCTGATGGTTTGCTTCAAAAGCATTTCTACTGGCATGGTATCCACAAATTGCCATAAAGGTGACCAAAATATGTAAAAAGCAATGGTCAATACTTTGAATACATTTTTTTTACTTTCCCATTCAAAATTAGTATTTCATTATCACGAAAAAAGTTCATTACCGGTATATATGTATATGTGGCACTGCGAGTTTCACATAGGCCTTTGGGATAATCATAAAATTAATTTAACTTTCATTTATACAATTCAATACTTGTATACTTGTATAACTAGGGAATAGGGCGAATAATCATTATTAAAGGAACTAAATTAAAATTTTTTATCAATATTGGTGTGAAATTTCTGGCATTATGTCAACTATAATGAAATCATAGAAGAGGTTATTCTTCTGTAAGCAGAGGAAGATGTGCCGCATAAATAAACCTTTTTTTTTTGCTCTTCTTAGTTCTCAGTTAACGCAGCTATCCTTATCAACCCAACTGTATATATTCAAAGATCGTATATTATATATTGAATGGGGAACAACTTCCACTTAAATGTAAGTTAGCCATGACCAAGTAGTCCCTAAAAAGCAACAAAATCATTTAATTTCCGGCGCGAATTCTCATCAAGACAAATGTTTTATAATCTTGCAAACCAGGGCGGAAGGTGCCCAACTCGGTTTAGCTCCAATCCAAGTCTAGAGCAAAACCCATTTTAATGAAAAAGTGCAGAGAGTAATATCTGAATTTTGAACCCAATATTGAACCAAGAGCCACACCTTTTCTAAACATCTAAATTTTTAAAAATTCTAAAACTCTCACAACAGCCACTGCACTCAAAAAGTGTAGGTAAAAATTTTCTAGTGCTAACTTTACCAGAACTTTGAACTAATTTCCACCATGTACTCGTATGATCAATTCACGTTCACCCCATTGCCATGACGCAATTAATTGATTAGTATATTTGTAACTCCAAGGTGCTTCATTCAGTACCTTACGAAAAGTGTGACGCTGGTAGACTCCAATAATGAAGACATCGAACTGCGTTACACACATACTTATATACATGCATACATCTAAATAGATGCATTTTAACTTGCAGTTGAGTGTGAGCATTGCACACATACTATACATGCATACCCTGTTAAAAGAGTAAACAAAGAGATTTGTCAGAGAAGAAAGAGAATCTCTATTTTTTTTAAAGAATGCATATATATATATGTGTATGAGTATATGCATAAGTATTAAGACTCTGCGTCAAAGGTAACTTTTTCGCCGTGTGAAGTTGAAGTGAAAAACATAACAAAATAATTTGATCTTGTATACATAAATATATCCACATGTGCATATATATGCATATATGTATGTATTTACATGATTGCAAATACATATTTCAATAATACTTTGTGCTTTTCTATAACATCGAAACTACGTACGAAATAGCAGCATACATACAAAGGCAAGCAAGATTAAATAGTTTCACGCTGAAATATAAACATTATAATTGCATGTTAAGCATAAATATGACAACATGGTACACCTCCACATGTGTACACGGTAACGTGCGCACATAATCGTATATGTTCATATAATATTAACACAAGCGTACCACTACATATCCACATCTATATATTTTTATATACACGTGTGCATATATGTGAAAGAGAAAATAATGGTTTTAAACAGAAATGAATGAAAAGTTTGCCACAGTTATTGAAGCAGTTATAAACTATCGTATACTCGTAAAAACAGTTATAAATTATGGTAGTAGCTTTGATACTGTGAATTTTTCTTCCTGCATTTGTTAGATATATTTTCTAGAAAAAGTTGCAACTTAGTAATATCAAGCGAAGTTATGGCAGACCTAAATATATTGTGGGAATACACAACCGTGGTCATAGGCGACATACGCGGCCAATCAGTACACTTTTTCTACAGATCCGAACGTCACATTACGAAGAAAACTTCGATATATGTATGTATATGTAAGTACATGGTATACATACATATGTAAATAATTAGAAGGAAACGAACAAGATTTTACAATTAGATTTTCCTGCAACGAAGCATATACTTATGTACATACATACATAGTGAAGTATGCTCGCCCAAACATTCATGTGCAACAGTTGCAGAAATTCCCACGTGCACAAATGGGCAGCTTCTTAGAGAGAAAAGGACGATTGCAAATTGCAGGTCGATATTTCAAAAACTGACGGACTAGTTGGCGTATGTACAGACGGACTTGGATAAATCGATTTAGTACTTTACACTGAACATTTTATACATATATATTTTATAGGATTTTCTGACATATCCTTCTTGGTGTTAGAAATATCGTGGCAAACTTCATATATCCTGTTCAGGGTATAATAAAGTCCAATAAAACTTAACTTCAGTTATATGAAAGTACTGACTCGCATTGTTGATCACATTGTTCAGTAGGCATCTTTGGATATTTCGGAATTTAAAAATGCCTAAATTAAAATGAAAATTAACTAAAACTATAGTTTTATTTGAAACATAATAATAATTTACGTATATTATATTAGAAAACTCCTTCGTTTTTTGTTTTTTGGAAATGTATTTTTCGACGTATACAGTATCTGCTTTTGGAGAAGTCGTAAACATTGACAGTCATTTTACTGTTCATTTGACTGTCAGTGGTACTGGCACCAAAGAATGCAGCTATTTCATATGTAAAGCTTTAGTAACAACAGCAGTTTCTTGTAAGTTATATGTATTATACATATGAATAATGTATGTATGTATATATGTGCTCTTTACATACATTCAAACACTTATATAAATTTGTTTAAAATAGAGGCCCGCCTTACAATTATCAGAGAATCATCAAATTCAAAACAGCATGATAAAGAATATGAAAACAAGGATCAACAGCAAATACAAAAATGCCAATACGTATAGTAATACTGTAATATTGTGAGATAACAAATTGCAACACTGTACATATGTACATATATATACATAAGTATATATATTTATCTCGAATATCACGGTTTTCGAAAATAATATATTTCGGGTATGTTGGGCTGCTCCTATTGTTGAAATCATAAGACATAAGTATTAATACACAATGCTCTTAGATATGTAACTATGTAAGTATATGTGTATTTATGCAGATGAATAAATAAATCTAACTCATAAGAGATATTATTTTGAAAAGAGAAGCGCTTCATTTGCTTAAATAAACCTAACTCTCTTTTAAAGCTTGTAAAAAAGATGTGGAATTTATAATAAAAATAGCTGAGAAATACAGGAGTGAGCTGTCTCTTTGATCATATGAAAGCGTATAAGTATGTGTCCGTCTACTATGGCATATGGCTTTAGCAACGCGTCGAATTGAAGAACACACGATCGTGTGTACTCAATTCTTCCACTCAGCAGCCACCATACAACCTGCTTTTTACAACATAGCAGCTTCGTCTGAATGGCCTGTTGAATATGTGAATGTATGTCCACCGTCTAACTGCCAGTCATGTCTTTGCTTCTTGTTAGTTTTCGAGGCGTTTTTAGTTGTCTTTCATTATATTAACATTGATGTGCTTGTTGTTGCTTTTTGCCGATCGCTGTGTCGTATTGCTACCGCTGTTATTTCGTACGTGTGTCCATGCTTGAAATCGTCTCTGCTCTAGCTGCAGTAAGCAAACATTGCAGATACAAGTTGTTTGCGCTTGCATCCATGCTCGATTTCCTGATATTCAGTACGACCATAACATAAGTAAAAGGTGCACGCACGCGCTTAGATTGTCCACTTTTGTCACATACACATATATTTATTTATATACATTCACAAACCTATACGTACACTTCGCTTTCTTATTTATTAAACAGCGCTGGATTTAATACTACATACACATATTAAAATCAACTCGTCAATATTAAAATGTTTGAACATTTTACTTGTGTTATTTAAAAAAGCCGAATATATGCAAAACAACAAAAATAAATAAAATTTCAATAGTGCATTAAAACTAAAATTTAGTTATATGGACTAAATGTTAAAATATAAATGCAAAACATTAATGTAAAGCAACGATTAAACCACAATCAAATTTATCCGCAATCCAAAAGGAGACTATCCGCCGGCAAAACGTTTATGTTCATACATACTTACATATAAGTACATATAATCATTACATATCACAAGTGCGATGTCAATCATTTTCATTTATTTTAAATAATTAAATGGTACATGTGCATGAAGATGTACTTACGTATGCCACTGCCTGATTGCCGAAATTGTGAAAAAAATACAAAATGATGTGTAATATCTCTGTTAGAAGCTAACGGATTTTGAAGTGAAGTTATAGAATATATGTATGTACGTGTACGAGTACAAAAAAGGACAAATATAGATGAAATTATATGATCAACTCGATAAGCATTCATAATCATCATTAAATATCACGGAAACATTCCTTCACATAGCAGCATATAAATTTACAAAACAATTAGTCGCATGACTTCATTAAAAAGGGATGGATGCTTATACATTACCAACATACTTTCCATTGGCGTAAGTAATTTTAGCTTATTCTTCTAAAACATAGATTCATGCTTATATAAAAGCTGAACTTTGTTAAAATTTGTTATTGAAGAAATTTCAACTTAACGCGCGGAAGCGATTGCTTGTAAAGCAGCCAAAACGGCCATAATTGGTCAAAATATAAGCGGCCCCGTATGTAATATTCTAAAATATACAGAATTTGCACAAAATCGCAGTCACCAACAACATACATACATACAAACATATGTTCTACCTCTGAGCTGTAATCACTGCCGTCAAACATATTTAGGGAAATTAATTTCCCATTATCTTTCTAAAAGTCACACCTACTTAAGAGTCGAAGTTGAAACTAAAATTTGATATAACCGACGGTACATTGTTAGCCATATCTATGTTAAAATTTTTTGATTTTACTAAAACAATATTCATCAAGAGAATCCTAGAAAGAAATTGAATAGTTAAAAGTTTAAGTAATAAGAAAAATAGTGTAAAGTAGTATTTATGCTTCAAATGTTTTTATAAATGGATTTTTAAATATTTTAAATATTATCATAATTTCAAGACCACTTGGGCAAATGACTCAAGTTGAACTTGTTTATATTTAAATATAATAAGACATAAAAACACACAAAAAAAGTCAAGTAAGAACAGAAACTAGGCATTCTCGGAGTTTTATTTTATTACCTTTGAAATTTTAAACTTCACTGGAATGAATATGTATATATTCGGGTAGGTCTCTTGACACTTTGATTGGTAGACACCTCTCCAAGTATGAGCTCTTAATTGTAACGGGAAGGTCCTTCGCCTTATAGTTTCCTATTTTTTTCTTATTATCAGATAGAAAAATTTAAATATCTCGCTTCCAACTACTTAAAAATATATTATTGTAGAAAATTGAACCGTTTAAAAGATATTATCGGATTGAAGTTTGACTATTTGAAAGCAATTTTGTTTTTTCATTTTGTATTTAATAACTCAATGAGTAAAAATTATTTTAAATTGCAAAGCTTATAGTCTTGTAGGAAATTTTCAGCCCTATAATATTCAAAAGAAACAAACAAAATTGTGTTAAAATTGTCAAACTAACGAAAAAATCGTAATGGATAAATTTTGAAGAGTATTCAATTTTCTACAAAATCCACAAAACGAAATATTTTTTCAGGTATTTGGAAGCGAGATATGAATCTTTCTATCCAATAATAAGAAAAAAATAGATAACGGCAAAGCGGGGGATCTTCCCGTTACAATTAAGAGCTTTCCTAGAGGTGTCTACTAACCAATTGGTAAAGTAAAAAGCATTTGATTTTTTGATCCACACTAATGTATATGTATGCTTTTAAGCGCATAGGTTTCTATATTTTAAAATGAAACCTTTTAGCCCAATGTAACTATTTCTTTCATCTAATTGAGTAGTAGGTAGAAACTCGATGTCACAGCTCTGTTTATCTGAACTCTACTACTACTACTCGTATACCATATACATAATATAATATTCAGCAGTTTGCGAAGGAAAGAGATATTTGAGGTATTTAAGATATATTTTTAACTTTTGTATGGGAATAAATAAAAATGTATATGTAGAGTGTAGTATAGTAGTAGTAGAAGTAAAAGTAGAAAAGTAGACTATTGGTCTCAAAAATGTTGCTAGAAGCCACGATATTTTCCGTGAAAAAATTCCATAAAAACCCCAACTTTTTAGACTCTTTGGCATGTGTATAACACCAATTTTTAAAAGTACTGTACTAAAAACCATACAAAGTTTTTTTGAAAATAATATATATACATATATACAATATAAAATAGATGATTTTAACAAATGTTTAGTTCTTAATTTTCATTAATATAACATTTCTAAGTACAAAAGTCGTAAAGTCTATAACGCACTGATGAAATTTGACATAAGTTGGCTATTGCTGGCTGAGACTATTTGGGACGTGTGGCATATGAAAAATGTAAAGTTTGAAACTTGTTTTATCTTATACAATGCGTTTTGCATTTCAATTCGATGAAGTTTTTCGAAGGCGTTGTTAACTGGCAATTTTTTCCGAAAGTAAAACTGTGAAATAGCATTACCGAAAATTGAATTTTATCGATAACAAAAAAAGATACATAAATCAAATTCGATTCCCATAAATTTGTTTAAACCGCATCTCCCAAAATGCATCAAATTTATGTACTTATGTATATTACTAAAATGAATTATAAAATATTTCTATTCAAACTGTCTTGTATCAATCTACAAAATACTTAATATTTATAGATATGACGTCAATAAAGTAAATCACATTAACATTAAATTTTATATGGTATCACACCTGTCTTCACATATATTGTAAAACTGTTATAAGTACTTACAAATTAAAATTAATAAAATTTATTCAACACATTATTAGGGATGTATATATTACGACATTTTTTTATGTCACTACAGATTTCTGTACCACTTAATAAATAGCTATGTATACTTACTAGCGCAATCATTCGTTCATTTGGGCATAAAGTAATTTCAGGCCACTATACCGATTAAATTTTCACAAAGTCTTGATATGTTGTTGAAAAAAAGTTGTTCTCTAAACATAACCTGCTGATTGTGAAAATTTTATTATAAGAGTAAAGTATACTTATGTAACAAAAATTCTTATATGAGGTATATGGAGGCTAGAGTAACTATTGCCCCGATTTTCAATACTACACCTTCAGGATGACCGATATTTTCGGTAACAAATCAGCCATATGTACTGGGTACACATATTCGGTATTTGGTGCTTTGAACAGTTATTATCAGATTTCGACAATTTTTAGATGTAAGATGGAATACCTAAAATACACTCTTTGTACAAAGTTTTTTTTGAATAAAGTCATTGACTCTCCATTTATAAACTGTAAAATGAAAGAAACAGATTGAATTTCAAATTGTAATATATGGGAGATAGGCGTGATTCTAGTTCAATTTCGCCTATTTTCATAATGTAAGGTAGGAATGTCTGAATAATTTCACAAACCAAATTTTGTTGAAATTGGTCTTATAGTTTCTGAGAGATAAGATTTCATGGGCGGTGCCATGCTGAAAGCAGACACCCTAATATGGATGTACATGTAGACATGAGACAAACAAACTCAGTATTAAGTAAGTATAAGAATTTTCTTCAGTAATCCCTATACGTGCGAAAATATGAGTTATTTCTAATCTAAGCTCTTTAGATTTAAAAGAATGCGTATAACAAAAAATAGGCAAGGGAAATCATTACTGTATTAATAATTTAACTACTTACTATACATACATGTTAAGAATGTTGTAATCTCTCTTGCATTCATTCTGGTTAGAATAGCTGTTTGTCTTCGATTTGCCAACAACATATAAACATGCATAATCAAATACAAACAGAATAGCAGAATAGACTTTTATAATGAAAATTGAAAATGATAAGAGAAAAGACCTCGGACATAGCCAGAAACAACAAAGAATCGAAGATAGCTAATGAGTATTTATTATATATATTTAAAAATTATATTATATAATTTAAAACTTAGTGTACAGACCCAATAAAATTTTTTTGCAATATCGAATAAAATATTTGTTATGATCCGATATTGCACATTATTTTTATGGTATATAGAATGCGTTAAAATACAGGTAAGGCGAAAGATAACATTTTATAGTAACAAGTAAGGAAGGGCTAAGTTCGGGTGTAACCGAAATTATACTCTCGCAATTTTCAAAAATCAAAGTCGTAGGGCCCACAAGTAGGGAAGGGCTAAGTTCGGATGTAACCGAACATTTTATACTCTCGCAAGTCAAAAAACGAGTATACTGTTTGAGATTTCTTTGTGGATTGACTGATATTTTCGGTAAAAGGTCAACTATGGGCACTGGGGTCCACATATTTAGTACCTAGGAGCTTGAACAGTTTTGGTTCGATTTAGAAAATTTTTGGCCACAAGGTGGCATACTTTAAGCGTATTATTCACGCAAATTTTTATCCCGATACAGTCATTGTTGCCTGATTTGCATAGTGGAAAGTGAAAGAATCAGATGGAATTTAAAATGGTGTTATATGGGAAGTGGGCGGGGTTGTAGTCCGATTTCGCTCATTTTCGCACTATGACGTTATGCACCGAATTTGGTTGAAATCGGTTAAGCAGATCTCAAGATATGGGTTTTCCCCTAAAAGTGGGCTGTACCACGCCCACTGTCTAATTTTGAACGCGGTTCCTATAAAGTCATCTCATACCATCCCAGAGATAAAATTTAATGTCTCTGGCGTGTTTAGTGCTTGATTTATCGCGCTTTTAGTAGTAGGCGGAGTTGCCACCCGATTTCAACTATTTTCACACCGTCAATAGAAGTGCTAAAAACATTTGCTTCCAGTAAATTTTGTTATTATAGCATTAGCGGTTTAGGAGAAATGCACATTAAACCTATTAGAGGCGGGACCACGCCCACTTTAAAAACAAAATTTAACTGCAGATGCCCCTTCCCAATGTGATCCTTTGTACCAAATAACAGTCTTGTATCTTATTGCGGAGCTTAGTTATGGCAATTTATTTGTTTTTAATTAATGGCGTTTTGTGGGCGTGGCAGTGGTCCGATTATGCCCATCTGCAATACCAACCGTCTCACGGTACTAAGAAACATGTCTACCAAGTTTCATAAAGATATCTCAATTTTTACTCAAGTTAGAGCTTGCACGGACGGATTTCAACTCGTCTCTTCATCCTGATCATTTATATATATATAACCCTATATCTGACTCAATTAGTTTTAGGTGATACAAACAACCGTTAGGTGAACAAAACTATTATACTCTGTAGCAACAGGTTGCGAGAGTATAAAAAAAGCACCCTTATACATATACATTAATTATATTATCAAACAAAATTCAACCATACATGCCTTTCTTAGTGTGGGCCAGAGAAATTTTGATTTTTTCTATTAACTGCATTTTATGAGCTTGTCAATGTAGTCAAGGCTTGTCAATGTACCAAATTTTACCACGAAATCTAAAGAT